CGAAAGTCTCGCCCCCTAGCTATAAGCTGGAACCTTCATTTCTTTTTTCTAGCTATTTTCTAGCTTCCAGATGGAACTTACCCCATTATGCATGGCCATAATTCGGGACCACTAAGTGTTCAGTAATTAAAACGCTGCAGTTGCGCGTCAACCTTTCTGTTCAAACATCTACAAATCGCACGGACATTTCGCCATGCAGTTCCACCATTCCTTTCTCCGTGGTTTCTCTCACTGGAACCTATATCTAATTGTGTTTCGCTGTGCATTAAGGTTCCATCTACATCATCCACATCATGAATTCCATACAGTAATTTAGGGAAAACATCAACAATAACAAACATAAAAACATAGAATACGACTCATTTCACTTGGGTTTCTTTCACTGCTAGCTGCTAGCTTGTCACACACAGGTGATATGGGTGGGGTATGTTGGGCATGTGGAATTTTTTAACCGTAATCAACGCCCACGGTATCCACCACACGCCGAGCCACAGCAACATCTGCAAGTGGCCCAAGGAGTCTGGTAAAGAGCCCGAGGCATTTGCTCTCAGATCCAGCCGCCTTGCGCTGCGTGCGCGTGCGCTTACTGCGTCGACGCTTCCGTGAAAGGCTTACTGCGCCGGAGGCGCGAGTTCTTTCGCGACCGACGACTGGCCAGCTGCAGAGCATCGATTCATTTGATTTCAGAAGTGCGAACGTTGATAAATATGTACCATATTATACCCATAGACTCCATGGGACTGCCATATATGCCTACATTGACCCCCAAAGCACCCCAATGTAGGCATACATGGCATACATGGAGTCTATGGGATAGAGAAACCTATTTGTTGCAAGGACTAAGCACCACTAGGCTTGTGCTGACTCTCCGGCACACCGAGAATAGTTCTTGCACAAACTCAATCACACCACTGGATTTGTGCTTACGATTTCTTGCGACATCTAAAAAGCTTGTGATGGTCAAAGTCATGTTCACAGGCCTTGCGCTATGAGGATCTGCTAATTGTAAATGTATGTATGTATGTATGCATGTATGTATGTATGCTGTATGTATGTATGTATGTATGTATGTATGTATGTATTTTTTCTCCTGAAGGTGTAGTGGCGGTTTGGCCGTGGTGGCCTCGGTTCCGGCTCAGTGGCCTCAGGGTGTGCTCGCGCACTCAGAAGTAGTCCACCGTGACTTCTGGGTCGTGAGCCATGTCAACCTCTTCTTCTGCCTCTTCCGTCGAGGTGGCGCTTGGTTCTTGAGTTGCAGGCTGCATCTCAGCCGAAAATCTGAGCTTCTTGGGCATGGGAGGTGACAGTGCGTCTGAGCCCGTAGGGGCCGCTGCTTCAGAGTCAGCTGTTGGCTGGGTGTCATGGCCGGTGATGGGGCTAGTGGTTGCCCTTGCCGTGCTGAGGGATCGCTCTGGTGGGGTTGTCCTGCCCTGAGGATTGGTCTGGCTGAAGAAGTGAGCCAGTGTTGGGGAGGTCGGTTTATGACCTTTGCATTCCCTTTGGAGCCCTTTTGTGAGGATCAGTCGATCCTGAGCATCCAAGTGGGTGTGGAGTCCGCAGCCTTTGCATTGGATGCTCTTGCCGATCTGCCACAAAGTGTGGGTGTTGTGGGCTGCATGTTCTTGGCCAAAGGGTGCATCAATGCATGTGCTGTGCAAGAACTGATTGAACAGCTCCTCGTTGGCCCGTTTATGGATGGCCTGATTGCATTTGGTGCACTTAAGATATCCTGTGGTTTCCTGAAGGTGATGAACATCCGGGGTGGTCGGGTGTTCCTGCTGTAGCTGGAGCAAGGCTGCAATGCGGCTTGCTCGGGTGGGTTTCTTTCCAACGGCCCTGTCTGGTGGTAGATCGGGCTCAGGTGCTGGTGCTGTGAGCTGGTCGCAGTCCTCTTGAAGCCGTTCCTCAATCATAGCTGCTGTCAAGCCCTGGTGCACTCTGGTCTGGCAGGTGTGGCATTGATATCCGCTCCTGTGGGCCTTCCACTGGTGCTTACCGGGTTGCCATGGTTGCTGGCATTGAGCGATGAGGGTCTTTTTCCTTTGCTTGGTCTTGTGCGCTGTGGCTCTGCCTGGCTTGGTGTGGAGATAGTGCTCTTTGTCTTCGTAGATTTTGGCCAGACGAGCTCCCGCATGCTGGTAGATCTCAAGGTGATCCTGATCTAGGATGCGCTGCCAAGCTTCTTTGTCCGGGTTGTGGATGCTGGTGGCCCTCTCCCATGCGGCCAGAGCGGCATCTCTCTGCCGTTGGCGGAGATGGGGTTCGCTTCCCGGTGCGTCTGGGGTTTTGTGATTTTTGGGGACGTACAGGGGTGTGATCAGAGTAAAGTACTCTGAAGGGTGCCCCTGAACGAGGTCATGAAAGCCTTTTCTCTTGGCCGGGTTGTTCCAAGCTTCCCAGACGGAGCTGACCTGGACGATCACTCTGGTGGGTGTCTGGATGTACTGAGCCAGAGTGATGAGCCCCTGGAAGATGGCCCTGGCCTTCGTTTGTGGGCCCTTGGCCATGCCCGTGATGGTGCCTTTCCGCTGCAGAGCTCCGAGGGAGTAACCATGGATACAAAGCGCGTAGATCCAGGCCTGTGCTCGTTTGTCACCTGAAGTGGGAGTGGCATCAACGGTGACTGAGAGCCCTTGCCACGGTTGGAGCGGAAGTGGTTCAAGTGATTGCCAACAGCCGTGCCCTTCCAAGTCAAGTGGCTGAGTGAGGTGGTCCTGTGGCTCCTTCGGGATCCACCCATAGGCCCAAAGTGGCTCCTCCAGCGGATCTTGGAGTCGTTCGGTCCATGGGATTGGAAGTGGTGTGTGCTTCTGGTTGTGGTGCCACTTGCATAGCCAAATGATGTGCTTCGGAGTTGCTGGGACCTGACATATGGGGCACGGTTTGGTGTTGGTACCATCCTTGAACCGGATGGCTGCTTGGTTCCAGGTGCGGATGTGTGTGGCCTGGGCCTTGGTGAGGCTTTTGGTGGCTTTGGATGCCGTGGTCCAGTCTAGGCCACTGACAAGGGATTGGCAGTTCCTCCTGCTGGCAAACCGATGCTGTCGCTGCTGTCTGGCTTCAGCATGTAGCAGTTCCTCAACTTGCCACCATGGTTGTCTAAGATCAATCTGGGCTGCTGTCATGAAAGCTGTCTCATTGCGATGCCATTCGTAGAGACTGTTGGTTTGCCAGCCCCATTCTCGGAGATAGGCCAAAGTGGCTGCCATGGGGCCCTTGACGTGGTACCAAGGGTATTGCTGTCTGCGGAGCAAGGATTGCAGCTCCATCCAAGCTCGTTCAATATGTGGCAGGTGGTCGGTGGGCCAACGGTTGATGAGAGCATGTAATGCCTGGACATGTTGGATGACCACTTGGTCTGCCGGGTCCATGTATTTGGTCTGGTGCTGGTCGTAGACAACATCTGTGATCCCTCCAGAGTGGAGGCCTAGATGTGTGGCCAATGCTTGTCGGAGGGCTTGTCGGTAACGTGGAGCCAAGCCTTGCCCTTCGACTCCCCAGAGTGCCACGGGTTGGATGCCTCCTCTGTGAAGCCGGAGTCTGGTGCGGAGGCTGGGAAGGCGCAAGGTGCGCAGTTTGATGCGGCGTTGCTTGTTCTTCTTGAAGCGGTTCTGAAGGGTGGTGATGCGCCTCCGTCTGCCAGCCTGGTGGTCGATGCCTAAATCCCTCATGACCGACTGGATTGGTGGGTCGTCGGGCCCAAGGAGTTTGGCCAAGGCTCGGTGAGTAGCCTTGTCGGTGACGATGAATGCGGTTTTGTGGTTGTTGACCTTGAGGCCTGCGGTGGACAGTGCTTGTCGCAGTTCCTGCCATGCATGCACAATTCGAGTGGCCAGTATGTCCGGGTTGTGGTGCTTTCCATCAAAACCGATGTCATCGACCCAGCCATTGAGGTGTAAATCCGGATGCTGGGCCTGGAAAGGGCTGAGGATGGGCTGCAGAAAGGCCTTGGCTAGCAGTGGAGCTTGGGGGCAGCCAGCAGCGACGCCGTGGGTGACATGAAACCAATGGCTCAGTTCAGCATCAGCAAGCACTGCCTTGGGGCCAGTGTAGACCTGCATGGCAAATTCTAGAGCCAGTGGTGGATACTCCAGTGCTTGTGCCACTGTCTGCAGCTTCTGGAGGTCGATGGTGTCATAGAAGGTGCTCATGTCCAGCAGCACAGTGATGCCGTGCAGGGCAAGTGTTTTGTTGCTCTCTTGCCTGAGAAGTCTTTCGAGAGCGACGTGGAGTGCTGTTGCCCCTGGTCGTGCTCTATCGTAGTCCATCGATGGAGGCAAATTGAGTTGCCAGGTGTCGAGCATGCCCTTGCGGAGGCGGCACCATGTCCTGTAGAGGACGCTTGTGAGGGTGATTGGGCGCTCTACCTTCTCGTTTTTTGCTAACATCACCATCAGGCTCATCTGGAGTTGTGTTGGCAAGGTGGCTGATTTCTCCATGTCCTGCAGGAGCTGGAGCAGACTGGGCAGGGCTTGGGGTGGTGTGTTCCGCAGGAGTTGTGTACTGATGGCATCTGGACCGCATGCTCGATCCGGCAATTGCTTGAGAACTCGAGCCAAATGCCCAAGTGTGAGTGGTGGGAGCTGTGCAGCCTGTGTGCAGGCTTGGTCGCGCAAGGAGTCACGGTTCAAGGGCGTGTTGTCGCTGGTGGGTTGCCAGTGTTGATGCCAATCATGTAGTCGATGTCTCATTCTGTCTGCCATGGGGACTGTGCGGTATGGGCGTTGCCAGGCTAGCTCACTGGCCTTGAGGTTTCTAAAGAGGCCTCTGAGGCCCTTAGCTTCTCCTTGTCGGATCCAGGCTGCATACTGTAGTTGTCCCTCTGTTCTGGATTGTTCGAGCGCTTGTGTGAGTTGGTGCTGGATCGTGTGTTGCATGAGCTCTAGCGTTCGTGGATCTTTATGCTGGTGCCAGTGTTGTGTCATGTCCAGGAACTGGGCCCAATGTATGTATGTATGTATGTATGTTGCATGCATGCATGTATGTAGGTAGGTAGGGAGGTGGGTAGGTATGTTCTACTGTTGGAGCTATTTAAGCCATCATTTGGGGCTGTCAATCTCTTTGCTGCAGGATGTTGCCGCATTCACATCTAGCGCTTTGGAGCAAACTAAAGATCTCCAAAGCAAGATGCAGAAATCTTGGTGCAAGCATGACATACCCCAGACATCCCCCAACCATCTATGGGACTGGGAAAAAGGAATGACTTGTTCTCTCGCAACGCCATACTCGTCACTTCTCGATACCGGCCGAGGCGCAACAAACTCTGCAAGTTGCCCAAGGACTCCGGCAGCGCGCGCAAAGTGCAGTTGATCAGACTCAGCTCCCTCGGTCGCGTGAGCCGCAAACACGAACGTTCCACCGCGACAGAACCGCTGAAACCCGCGACAGAACCGGCTGAAGGCGCGAAGCAGCCAGGGGTGGTGCCAGGGGGGTCAATTGATCGGCATATATGGCAGTCACATGGAGTCTATGGGGAATGAAGCAGACCGGGTGAAACAACGAACCCGGTGAAACAACGAGATTCTGCGGGACACGAGTCACGACGGTCACGACGGGTCGTCGATTGGAAGCACGACGGGTCGCCGACGGAAAGCACGACGAGTCGCGAGTGGGCTTGGAGGAGTAGGCAACTGGTTAGGTTGTTCATATCCCAAAACACGACCTCTGGGATTGCCATATATGCCTACCTGATCCTACATTGACAGCCCTGGCACCACCCCAACTGATGGGAAAATATGGCACAACTCTGGAGTGTCTGGGTATAGAGTATAGAGCCCTCTTATGTTCACAGGCTTCGTAGTATCCGTCTTCAACAGGACGAAATGTGCCCCGGGCTGGCACAGCTGCAGGACGTTGCATAGCTGCAGCATCTCATTCTCGAAGGACAATCGGACCGCTCCGTGCAACGTGGCCAAAGTGCAACTCATTCGGTCGGTGATCCGTGTTCATCCCAAGCTCACTCAGCCAAGAACCAGTCAAGATCTTTGCGAGTATGCCAACACGTTTGTCTGGCATGGCTTGGAGCAGTATCAAATGATATCACATGTATCAAACTCCTCGACGAGAATGTCAAGCAATACCACCAGTTTCCAAAAAGTTTGTCTGCACATGTCTCCATGTCTCCACCCTATCAGATTCTTGCCATCCCAGATTCCGATGCCAGCGAAGCTTTGGTCGTCAAATACAGCCGAGACGCCCCAAGTTCTTCAAGTTTCCCACCAACGCCGGCAAAGAACTCAAGGGGTTGTGGCTCAAGGTGAGTTTCCTCAATTCTGAAAAAAAAGGAAAACACCCTCAAAAAACATGGATGGCATCCCAAGAGAGGTTATAGGTGACCTGAACTAGGACCCGGAACACCTGGACTATCCCAACTGGGATAGATTGGGAGAGTCTAGTTCGGGTCCTTCAACCTCTGTTGGGACCCGTGCCACCCGTGCCTTTCCCCGGACCCGACCCCTGACCCTCAGGTCGGAAGGTCGGGTCCGGTCGCGGACCAAGTGGACGGTCATCCAAAGAAGGAAGCGATGGTTCGATGTATGTAGCAAAGTCTTGGAAATGATTAGATACAACAACATTGCGTCGAAAGGTACGTCTTCTTCTTTGACAACATCCAAAGCTTTTTTTTTATACTTTCTGTGTTTTGTACACAGAAGAGATGTCAAAGTTGTATATGAATAGATGGGGAAGCATGATGAAGCATGTATACATAACCTACGGTGAGATGGCCTTACCAGGTGATCTCTCGTCCCCCCGATGGATTTCACAGCCGAGGCACAGCAAATGACTCAAGTTGCCAAAAGACTCCGGCGAAGAGCTGAGCTGGTTGTTGCCCAAATCCAACCCCCTCAATTCCGCTGAGCTGGTCGGATCCCACGAGGCAAGTTCTCCCACCGGGGAAGGGGTGAGGCAGAACCGAAACCCCCAGATCGTGCCAAAGAAGAACTGATGGCCATGGAAATCCTGCAGGGAGCAGCCAGGGGGCTCCAGGGCCACCAGGAGTCCAGGGATAGGTCCCAGCATGTCCCTTTCACACCGACCATCCAATCCCGCAGCACCCAGCGCAGCTGGTTGGTTGCAGTCAATTGAGTTCGCCAAGGCGCAATAATCTCTGCAGTTCGCCAAAGGACTCTGGCAAAGTGCTCAAGGCGTTGCTTCTCAGATCCAATCGCCTTTGTGCACTCGAAGACACCAGCTATGACTATAGGGGAGAGTAAACAGTTGGTATTAACCACACTCCTCAAAAAGACATGGCCTTCTCCTGTTCCACTTCGCAACCCGAAGTGCGCACGCAAACTTTGTTGATTCAATGGCAGGCGTGATTCTATTGATCGGAATAATTGATCGGAATATAGTATATATATTACAATATATATATAATTGTATATATATATATATATTAGTAGCTACTAGTGGCTAGAAGCAATTAGATTGGAGGCCATCGCTACTAGGGTGGAGGCCATCACCACTATTGACCAGAAGCTACTAGTAGCAAGGTGGAGGTAGCTTCAATGTGACATGATATGACACGTCATACTAGTACCAAGAAGCTACTCCAGTAGGTGGAGGCCATTGCTATTGGGTTGGAGGCCATCGCTACTAGCAACAAAAAGCTACTAGTAACAAGCGGAAATAAATCAATAGCTTCCAAATGGTTGCAAGAATATGAACCCCCATGTCACGCACGTCCACAACTGTCTAAAAGGTTGGCAAGGCCTGGACGTGCCAGAGGGCGTGTGAAGGGTGGCTATGGCCCCAGGGGCTTTGGCACGCAGTCACACAGCCTGTGCCTCGAAGGTATGAGAAAAATGATCAATGTTGTGATTTGTAGGGCCGTGCTGCTTGGAGAATGCGGTTTTTGGAATGTCCTGGTCCAGCTTCCTTTTGGGGGTTGGGGGTAAAATACATTGGACAAAGAAGAACAAAAGATTACGTACGAGTACGTACTTTTGGTGGAACTACACTCTACATGGCAATGTCCCCTGTTCGCATCCAGCTAACGTTGCCAAACAGGGTGCAGCCAAGCTGCTTCAAGCCCTTTAGCTTGCCAAAAGACTCCGGCCATGAATGGATGTTGTTGTGGCTTGCATAAAGTCCCCTCAAAAACGCGCCAAGCGCCATCTACGATCCGCTTTCGTTTACACGTGCATTTGGCTACATCAAATCCACAGTAGCATGTGGCTCTTCAAAGGATTGCACATGAAACAAACATGACACATCATCAAACAAGGTTGTAGTAACTGTAGTATAGCTGATTCTTTGCGTTCAAATATGTGATCAACCCCACTCCTCAAGCGGCTGCCCCGTGAATGTTCGCAGGCTTGGTGGTAGATTCTTTTGCTAATATCCGTTCAAAGTCTTTGATAGTCTTTGTGTGTTCCTCACAGTGGGTCCTCACTGGTCGCGGCAATCCACAGGTCCGGCAGTTGGGATGGCACTGGGCAGGTTAGACATCTTCACTCTGTCAAGGAAGCGCTCTACCCTTCGTTCTTTTTTGGCCCGTTCCCACGGGCTCGTGGAACGTCCACGTTCCTTTCGTTTCGTTCAACCCGAAGCACCACGGGATTGTCGACCCGTCGACTCTGTCGGTCGGTGCCTGGTGGCAGGGACCGATCCCACCGAGGCGCCACAGCGTGTGCAAGTTGCCCAGAAACTCGGGCAGCGAACTCAAGGCATTGTTGCTCAAACCGAGCTTCCTCAAGGCGCTGGCGCGAAAGACGCGAGCTCGCATGGTGAAAACAGAGGTCGACAGTGGCAGGTCGTGGGAACGTCCTGGTGCCAGGTTTTTGGCCATCCGGTGTTGTACATAAAGCATCGAAACCAGTGATGCTATGGGGTTGAAGCTGACAACTACGCTCTTCAACATGTTCATGAGTTAGGATCATGGTGTTGCTCCTTGCCCACTGCTCAGTCAATGAAAGTTGTTGAACTTGCACATTAGGTGAAGCTGAGCAATCCTTTCAGTGTCATAGCACCAGGGTTAAACCATTAAACCACACACAAATGAATCTAACATGAGTGCTGTGATTCTTCCTCGCCTCACCTCACGTCCTTTAGAATCAACGGCAGTACGTACTGCACGGCCACAACGGCCAGTTACACGATAATTTGGAAATACTGATCTCATCTCATCTCATCTCGTATCTCTTGGCATGTACTTGATGTCTCGCCAACTGCGATGACAAATCAAACGCAGTTCTTTTCTGATGCGTTTTGCACCTTTTGCTGCTTGTTGAACGAAGACATGTGACATAATCCTTTGTGGACCTTTACTGAAAGCTACATGCGATCTGGGCTCCCCTCGAAACGCGCAACAAAAAACACAAGTTGCAATTTTAAAGCGGCGCTCTCTTTTCAAGCCAAGGCACCTCAATCGCTGCAAGTTGCCCAGAGATTCGGGTACAGAGCTTAGTTGGTTGCTGCTCACATAAAGCCGCCTTTGTGCCATGGAACCCATCGGACAACCGCAAACGCGCACACTGGGGTGGTCGACCGTGGACGGCTACACACATGCTTTTTGCCGATGCAGTGATATTGAAGAGAACATTATTTGTGCTTAGCTCTGCCGCCCGTGTTTGGCTATGCCATGCCCCATCGGAGAAGTGTTGGGAGCATTTCTTATTATTGGTATTTCACACACTTATGGATATGCATACGGAACTGACAGCGGTGCCACACGCCGGCCTAGGGTACCATTTCCTAAAGTACGAGTAAGAACCACGGAGCCTCGGGGTCTCCAAGAGGAAATAGGGCCAAAGTCTCAAGATCGAAGGCGACGATCAAGTCGACATGACGACGTGCGCTCTTGACTGCCAAATGTAGCTACCTGTGAGGTTCTGGCATCCCAGAACTATATCACTGTGCGACAGATGCGTCTTCGTTGGCTGGAGACATCTGAAGCACACTCCAGCCCCCTGCTAAGCAAAAAACAATTCAAACGAATCCCTGTGACTACAAGGGGCACACACACACACACGCCTCCCCAAGGGGAGGCAAAATTAAGGCTAGGACGAATGTGCAAATGTGCGCGCAGCAAGGACAAAAGGAAGAAGACATGAAAAGGAAGACAGACGGGACTAAAGTGTGTGTGGTTGCGATGAAAGAGAAACCAAGTGCACAGGGACAACCGATGAAACCCACCTCATTGTCGAGACCTGGGCGACCTAACACCTGAGTTGGAAGTAGATGTGCGCGTACACACTAAGGCCCGGACCGTTGTACGCGCAAAAGAACGAAAGGAGTGAGATGAAAGGACATGAAGCAAGGGAAGACATGAAAAGAAAGAGGAAAAGAAGTGTGTGAAGGGGAAAGGGTGAAAGGGGAACCAAATGGAGGGGACGGGAACCGATGAAACCAGACCTCATTACAACGACCTAGGAAGACCTGCCTCGTTGAAGTGTGTACGATGTATGTGCACCTAAGTGTCCGACAGGTTCCATTGAACCTTGAACAATCTTCGGCCGCTGCGGCCACGTACGCCGTGCCAAAATGGCTGGCTGCTTTGACCGCTGCGGTCACGTGAAGGCATAAGGCAGCTTGGAATTCCGAAGATGAGACAAAAATCTGAGTACTCTCGGCCTAGGCCACCTTCGCCCGCTGTGGGCACTTACGTTTCCAAAGCAAGGGAAACAACGACAAACCCCCGTTCGACGGGTCCACGGGAGGCACTCTGCGGGCTCATCCCGGGTTGGCACGAGGCCAAACACACTTATGGATATGCATACGGAACTGACAGCGGTGCCACACGCCGGCCTAGGGTACCATTTCCTAAAGTACGAGTAAGAACCACAGAGCCTCGGGGTCTCCAAGAGGAAATAGGGCCGAAGTCTCAAGATCGAAGGCGACGATTAAGTCGACATGACGACGTGCGCTCTTGACTGCCAAATGTAGCTACCTGTGAGGTTCTGGGCTTAGCCTCATGCCATTCAGAAGACTCGGAAAATGGCAGGTACGTAGTTCTGGCGTCCCAGAACTATATCACTGTGCGACAGATGTGTCTTCGTTGACTGGAGACATCTGAAGCACACTCCAGCCCCCTGCTAAGCAAAAAAATCATTCAAACGAATCCCTGTGACTACAAGGGGCACACACACACACCGAACGGTATTTGTCATGTTCTTTGTTTACATTGTTGCGTCCAGTTCGATTCATAGTCACTATAGAAGTTCTGTTCGATCTCGCCGTATGCTCATCGGTTTCACAAGGTTGTCGTCCAATTCACACGATTGTCACAGGCGCAACGGTGCCATTGAAGAGTGGTCGGGTTAGGTTGTTGTCTTTTGCACATACATATCATCGGTGTTACAAGAGCATCATCGATTTCACAACAATACCAGCACCCTCCAAGGGGTCACCTGGCTGGAAGCCCACACACTACTGAGAGATCTCCAGACAGGACACCCCTTGGAAGGTCCAGGTAATTATATTGTCACCAGCTTGACAAAACTCTGAGACATACCGCCAGTGAGTTTGCACCAAACCCAGTGGCCCTGCAGGGTTCAACCCTCATTTATAAGGTGAACAGTGAACATGGCGATGTCGCGTTGTTTGCTCCTATTTGCCACTCTTGGGGTTGCTCTGTTTAAAGCTACTTGGACAATTCATTCATGGCATCCAAGACGTTCGCCCCCCTTCGTTGCCCCTGTCACTCCAGTGCTGCCTCAGGGCGATGATTTCGCGGTTCGGTTCGGATCCGCTGGCGGCTCCGGTGAAGGAGCGGACCGCCCGCTCTCGGCGAGCGCTCCTTCTCGGCTCCGCTTGCAGTGTCCGAAGTCAAGGCACTGCAAGCTTTGCAAGTTGCCCACAAACTCGGGCAACGAGTTGAAGTGGTTGTAGCTCAAGAAGAGCTCCCTCAATTCCACTCACACATTCTCTCTGAGGTGCGGAACAACAAGAGTGCGCTTCCAACATGGTGCACAAATTATAAACCTAGGACTTGCAACTAAAAAGCACATAAATAGGAAAAAGAGGGGCATCGTCCGATCAATCCGCAAAACCACAAAACCAGCTGGAAACACAAAGCTGAAACAGCCATTTCGCGGCCTTGAAACCATGCACATGGAAACTCCATAGGCATTTCCAAGCTGGCCCTACTAGATAGAAGTCGCACAAACTATAGATAGAAGTCGCACCAACTATAGATGACTCTTTCGGAAACCTCACTTTTCGCCCCTGTCTTCGCTTCAAAACACGGGAGGGAGGTAGCGCGGTCTGGAGACCCACCCAGGTCCAGGTCTCGAAGAGCCGTACAAGTCCAGTCTGACCCAGGTCCAAACCTGGTCCTTTATCTCCTTTAACCGTGCTTTTGTATGACCAACGTCAGTATTTCATGAGGTCATTGACTTGTAGGTAAATCATGGCAACTGTTCGAGTCCGGAGTGTTGCCTCTCAAGCGGCACCCTTCAACAATCGCATTTTTTTCGTGGATACTTGCAATGGAGTTCGATGAGTTACACAAGTCATCTGGTTCAGGACAACAAATGGCTTAAATTGCTGTGGCTCATGACACTGGGGACCCTCGTGGATCGCAGGTTCCGTGAACAGGAATAGACTGGGCGAAGCGGGTGCCAGCGTCCCCACAAAAGGTGGTACCAAGCCTCTCAACTGTGAGCTGACACGACATCTCCACTTCGTGGCATCCTGAAGATTCAATGCTTGGCCGAGTGGCTGCAATTTCTGAAAGTTGCCCAGCGACTCAGGCAGTGAGTGCAGTGAGTTGTTGCTCAAATCCAGAAACCTCGCATCAACTCACAGGTCACTCGTCACCTGCGTCGCCTGCGTGGCCCCCGAAAAATTCCTTTTGGCACACTTGGCTGTGGATCAAAACCTAAGGCCTTGGTTGACCTGCCGACAGAAGGTCTTTCTCTACATCGTGGACTGGTCGGGCGGACATGGTGGGTAGAGAAACACCATCCCAGACCCATCCGACGCCGATCGTTTAAGCCGAAACCGAGGGGCTGCAGATTGTGTAGGTTGCCCAAGGACTCCGGCAATGAGCTGAGGTTGTTGTTTTGAAACCACAAACGCCTCAGGAAAAGAGAAAGGTCATCCCAACGGGAAATTGAATATAGTAACATTTACTTTACAGAAGGCAGCTCTCAGTGGCGCGTTCTTGAATATATTTCAATCAACCAGTGTCCCCTCACAACTTGTGTGAGGTTTGTATCCTAATCGTTGTCAGCAACTTTGCTTTCCAGACCAACCAGCAAAACTAGAACATTGACATGTCCAAGGAACTCAGGAAATCCCAAAGACACTTTAAACACAATATCAAACACATCACCCCAATCTTTATCCGCAACGTTGCTTTCCAAACAAACTTGCGAATATTTGAGGACATCCAACAAATATAAATATATATATACATCTAAAACACAAATACACATGCAATCGTGACAGGACTTTTGTTTTTTTCAGTTTTGTGTATATTTTTGTAATTCTTCGGTATGCTGGGGCTTGTTGGGAGACCAAGTTTGTAGAGGCCTTTGGCAATGCACGTGCAAGTGCTGATGTGAATTGTTTATCCAAAGAATCAGTATGGCCAGGCCCTCCCGTCCTGAGTCCGAGAGACTGTGGCAGTGCACTGAGTCTGAGCGTGCGTCCCACCTTTTCCAAAACCCTCCATCATAGCATGTGTTGTTGCGTTATTTTTTCAACTTCCTTACCTTTGAGAAGATTCTGACCGCAAATAATGCACTCCACCTAACCCAGAACCTTCTCCGTTATACAAAGCTGTTATCCTTTACATCTTGTTACCATGTTCAGTTCATCTTTGCTAAAACTTTGACCGTATAAACACATATTATATATATTGTATGACCACGGAATCCCTCATTGTGGAGGATCACCATCTTCGTTTATAAGAGGGCGTTTCTTTGTAAGGGCAATAGATTTGGAAGTTCTTGTCCAAGAAATCAATGCTCTGCAAAGGTTTCATCTACAATCAACAACATAATTATCAACAACGTATCAAAGAAAAGATAGCAGCTTTTGTCTCTGGTCTAGAGTCTAGGTCCTTCTATTGTATGGCCGCCCTTTCTTTTTTGCCTCTCAGTACCTAATCACAGAAAGAATCATGCAAGAAACAGTTTTGTCTAAGAGAGAATCCTTCTAAGAATAGGAGCCGCTTGAATAACACAACAATGGATGTGAGGAAGGAATCAAGAAGCAGAGACACATAGAAGGAAATCAAAAAGACTAAATAAAATAAATAAATGCAAACCGCTAGTAAGGAAAGGTAGCAACAATTAGAAAAAGAACAACTATGTTTGAAATAAGTCTTGAACAAAATCTGGAGGATCAATTTAGGATGGAAAAACTGAACAAAGAACAAGGAATCAACAAATACTCCAGGAGACTAATCAAGATGCAAAAAAAATGAAAACTGCAACTTGCATCGAAAAATGTACCGCTCACAGCGCTCCCCTCTCTTACATTAATATCGCATTAGGTACATGATTCTTCTCTTCTCTCAAAGGATTCGCAGCGACGTCCTCCAGGTTTGCTCTGGAGCACCTGACTTTAGATGTGGGAACTCATGGAAACACGATGAAACATCCGCGACGTCATGAAAGACACATCGAAGCCAACTCAACTCAACTCCCACACCACCCACCTAGTAGCGTTCTTCTTACTAAGTAGCGATGGCCTCCAACTACTACCGTCCTTCTTACTCCCTCCGAGGCACGTCAAATATCTCATCTCTCCAATGGCCTCCGGCAACGTCTCCCGCAGCTGGACCTCCCCGCCCTCGTTGTCAGCGCGGATTTCGGTGACGTGGCCATCCTGGCAAGTGATGCGATCATCCTCGCAGAAGTCCTCAGGTCGCAGTGATTCCACCGCGTCCGCATGCGCCGCCGCGTCGCCTTCGCCGTCGCGTCTTCCATGGCTCTGACCACACGCGCCCCTTGCGCCGGTCCACGGTGCTGGGTGATTGGAGAACAAGAGTACGCCCCTAATGATCTTCGGAACCCAACGACACCAAGGCGTTGCTTCGGGGCACCCGGAGGCTTGGGCTTCCCGACACAGGTGGTGTCTGGGATGTGGGTCCACAACACTGCCCACAGAATCAGAACAACGCGACTTGAGAACTTTTGGAGGAAGCTGCATGGCCATCCGGAAAGATCTCTTGCAGCACCTTCTGCTCCTGGAGGTGGCAAATGATCAAACGCTGGGAGAGCTTGTGGCTTCTGGTATCCCTAAAGGTACCTGGTACCCCTGAAGAGTGATAATTATCACTCCATTTTGAAATCATCGATCTTTTGGAAAGTGGTGACAAAAAGCACTCCGGAGTGGAAAAAAATGAGTCCAACCCCGTAATTGCATTCAGATTGCGTTCGCAGTGCGTGCACTTTGCGTTCGATCAACGTTTGCTTTGCGTTCAAGATACGTTGCGAGCAACAAACACCATTCTGGAGCAACTATTCTCACTGCCGAGTGCTTTTTGTCACCCTACTTCCCAAAGATTGATCATTTCAATTTGAAGTGAAAATATTTAGACATTAGTTTAGTCCGAAGAGGGACTAAACAATATCCAACAAGTGTCGATTGAATGCAGGAACTCGACAAGGAATCCGCTCATTGCCCGCGCGGGTGATTCTATGAATGAAGAGGAGGCCCTCTCAATGGACATTTAGGGAGGGAAAGTGCAAACACAAAACGCGCTGGGTTGCATGTGGATGCATGTGGCAGGAGGCCTGGTCATTGTGGGGCATCATCTTTGTGCGGAAGTCGTACAAAAACCATCGAGGTGACTCAAATACATGGTCCCAGACCATTCTAGATAGGATGGCAATGGATGGCAGCATATTGGTTATGGCGTTTTCTCCCTGTTCTCAACACCCAAATCTGAAGTCCCCCAAACACCAAACACGCTGCCGGACTTCGGCCCGGCGCTCCGTGTCGGGCAAGCTCTCTGTGTTCGCCCGGAGCACCACGAAGAGCCGCCAGGCCCATGCCGCCATCGCTGTCCGCAGCGGAACGCGGTCCGCAGTGGCACAACCGGCCCTATCCGAGGGAGAGGACTTGTTGGAAGAAGTTTCTGGGCACAACCGGCAGAGGTCTGGGCATCCGTTTCTGGGCACTCTCTGAGAGTCTCGTTGAGATTCCAAACACTCATACAGATATACATCAATCATCATCCGTCATACATCAATCATCAACCTATTGATTTGTTGCACCAAAAGGTAGGACAAACAAAACATGACGGACTAGTGAGCTGTCTCTTCAAGAGGACGCCCACCCCTTGAAGAGTAACACACCACAACCATGGCCAAACCTTTGAATCCTTTTGAGATGGATCATTTGACGCCCATGAGCAATGGGCGTCACCGGCAGGAAGCTTGTGAGGGGCCAACCTTTTGTGAGGGTCAGATTGATGGACACTGTGACACTGTCCAACAAATTTCAATAACAGGAATCAATTCCAATCCCTGTGTCTAAGAATGTCCAAAATGTGTTTTTCCTCCAGATCTGAGAGGATGTTCTTGTTGATCTTGCAAAGCACTGATATCGTGCATCTAAGGCCTGCTTTGCACGTCCACTGGGTTTTGTACAAACACCCAACTGTACCTGGTGTGAAGCGCTTGTTGAAAATTGTTCAGTTCGACAAAATATGTGGAAAACACTACCCAATGACAAGTGACAATGGTGAGAACATTTGCACTTTCCGGCCCCAAACAACGAAAAGTGGATGAATAATCAGTTAGACCTCAGATAGGCCTTGGAGCATCTGCTATGGTTGTAGTATACAGTATACCACTTCCCGAACAATTGGTAAAACAAAACACGGAATTGAAGAAAACATGTCACGAACCTCTTCCCATTCTCCCTCAGGTAGATTTGACGCAGAAGAGAAACCCGAATTCGCCCAAATTCATGGGTTGCATTGACCGAGTCAAGTTGGAACCTTCCAACTATAGGAGCGGTGCATCCTTTTTGGAGGAAAAAAGCGATCTTCACGCCTTCGGCTTGACTATGAAAGTCACAGACTCTGGAAAGGCTTCCTCCCCAGTCGTGACAGACTCCGGGATTGTCACATCTCGCAAGGAGATACACGTCGAAAAGGCCCGTTCTCCGATGCTGGTCACAGAGTTGGGGATGGTCAATGTTGCCAAGGAGGTGCAGCCCATGAAGGCATCGTTTCCAATGTGAATCACGGAGTCTGGAATCGTCAAGTCGGTTAATGATTGACAAAGGCTGAAAGCACAATCCCCTATCAGAGTCACTGAGTTGGGAATGGCCACTTCTCGCAAGGAGGTGCAGGTCCTAAATGATTGTTCTTTGATGCAGGTCACAGAGTTGCCGATGGTCAATGTCGCCACAGAGGTGCAGGCCATGAAGGCCTCTTTTCCAATGTCGTTGACCGAGTCGGGAATTGTCAAAGCTTTCAATGATCCACAAAGCTTGAAGGCATAGAGTCTCCAATAGACCTCACCGAGTTGGGGATTGTCACCTCGGTTAATGAGCTACAGTTGAAGAAGGCAGACTCTCCAATGCTGGTCACCTTGGTTTGCTGATTCGAAGCTACAAAAACTTAAAATGTTGAAAGTATGTTCCACCAAAATGGAACCCATGAGGATTTGCCCACAGGGGCACACTCAAAATCCACCCACATCCGCCGACACAAACGCGAAACGTGAGCATGTTCGCGAAGCGGGGCTGGCGGCGTGTCCCGCTTCGAACCAATGGCCGTGTCCCATGGACAATGGAACACATCGGAAAACATCGGGAAAACGACCAAAACGACAAATCATCGGTAGAAAACCCATGTGTTGATATTAGTTGTTCTATCCAGGGCAGCACAAGATTGTTCCGAAAAAACCCAGGAGGTGGCCGGTGGTTCGACTCCGCCCTGCCCCCAAACATGTCCCTCCTAGTCCGCCAGTCGGCCGCATGCTCCTTGTAGGCCCCCCAGCTCATGCAAGCAAGCGTTGCCAGAGCTCATGCAAGCACAAGGGCACAAGGAACCTGGTTATGTCATTCCAGTATGTTGCAGTATTTACGCGCTCTTTGCAAGGTCAAAGGCCCAAAATAACGTAAATACCAGCCTTGACCCGAAATGCTCGTATTTACACACAGTTGCCAGCGTCCGAGGCCTGTACATGCCAGCGCTCATAAGTCCCTCGCATTTCTATCGCACTCCAACGTTGCTATTAACGGACTTTTGGCAATGTCAAAGGCTCAAACGTATACTTGGATTTGCTCGAGGAACCGGAAATACATGGAAGTACATGAAAAAAGATCCCCAGCAGGGGACTTCTATACCCATAGATAGGTAAATGACAAATCAAATCAAATCACCTGATGCGCAACACCTGGTAACCTCATGGTATATATACCTTGCGGTCACATCCTCGTGGTCGTCTTGATGTCAAGCTCCCGCGCCGCGCATGGGGAGGGATGAGATGGGCTGCTCTTGCAGATGCCAAGTCCCCGCAGATCTGGTGCGAACTAAGTGACTGAGCTGGGAAGTGTCAAGCCCCTTAAGGCGGTGCAGTCTTTGAATGCCCAAGTTTCGATGGATGTCACAGAGTCGGGAATCTCGACCTTCAGCAAGGCCCGGCAGTTTTCAAAGGCAAACCTTTCGACTTGATGTACTGTGCTGGGGATCTTCACAAAAGGCACCTGTACTGGCCTTTGACCATATGAAAAACGGTGCGAACATTCCACTGGTTCCATGCTGCGGAAGAGCACCTGCACCTGGGGAAGAGTGCGGAATGGCGGCGGAATGGCAAAGAGAGTGGGACGTGCTTCAACGAGTGAGAACCAATACAAACATCTCTGTTCAATCTGGCGGTGATGGCACTAACAGTAACTAGCAACAACCACTGGCCAATGGCTCGCCCCATGCTTTCAGGAACAAACGCCGTGAAAAGATCAGTCTCTCCCATCAGCTCGTGGACCTCTGCACCATCTTCGATGCCAGACTCGACCAGCGTTTTCTGATCATCGTCCAATTTCTGCACGTCGCAAACCACATCCACAATTGTCAATTGGCGTGTCATTTCATCCTCATACTGCTGCATGTCCTTCAGCTTCTGTTTGAAATCACAAATGCTAGTATCCTCAGCATTTTGCGTGGAAGACCGGATCAAACAATGAACTCAACAGAGAGAGGAACCCTCCTTCTTACGAGACAAACTTGGAGGATTGGCAAGTCGACATATTGGTGACGGTTTTGTGGCTAACTTTCCCACGTCGATTTTGGCTGTCAGACTGTTTGTAATCTTGGCTGTTTATGCTCGCTGTTTCTTCTCAGGAACATCGTGACCAACACCACTAATGGGATCCAGGGATGATGAAAGGAGCTGCCCTCCCTGAGGAAGTTATGCCTTCTTGTTCCTCAGGGTTGCACGCGGAACGCAGGCACAAAGGTAGAAATGTAAAATTTAATCAGATGTCATTGAATGTCATTGAGTCTAAATCAGGGAACCTTTCAACTTTCAACCTTTACATTGGCACAATCCTGTCAAGGAAAGCATGACAAATCCAACTCTCCCACTCCAAGCACGCCGCGCCACGGGCCACGTTGAAAAACAACATCATGAGCATTTGATCCCTTGGTATTTAACTAGTTTTTTATGTTGAACTTTGTTTGCGCTATCTTTTGCTGGTCAAAGCGGGCCGCAATTTTCATGCTCAAAGACGGGGTTTTGGGCTTAAGCGGGTCATGTTTACGCAATTTCGGTGCTCAAAGACGCAGGTCTGGGCCTTAAGCGGACCATGTTTACAAAGACTCGACATTGCGCTTAAGCGGGCCATGCTTATGCAATTTCGATGCTCAAAGACGCGGCTTTGTGCTTAAACGGGCCATGTTTACGCAAGTTCGATGCTCAAAGACGCGGGGCTTAAGCGGGTCACGCTTACGCAATTTCGATGCTCAAAGACGCGGGTTTGGTCCTTAAGCGGGCCATGTTTTCACCAAATCAAAGTTGAGGGTTGAGATGGGCACCCTTCCAGGGCACTCTGGCTAGTCATTTTTTGCATTCTTAAAATTGTTTTGATCATAGTGAATCATGTTTAAGCATAAAGTTGTCACAAACAAGGTTTAAACTGATTAGGAAATACTCACAAATAAGTGTAAAAATGACTCAACAGTGATTAGACATGATTTTGAACAAAATTCACCAACGGGTAAAAGTATGAGTGAACCAAAAGTGTTTTCACGGGTACATCCACGAGTGAAGCCACGAGTGAAGTTGCAGTGAACGTGCAGACAAAATGAAAGTTCAACAAAGCCTTTTACGATAAGTTGACGAGTCGAGCAACAAATCAACTTACAAAACACAATGAAATATGTACTAAGTACAAACGGTTCCTTCACGATAATCAACGAGGCCAGGAGCACTGTGCTCCTGGCCCCGTTGAAAGCTTCTGAAACTAGTAAGTTTTGGCTGAAGAGCTCTGTGCTGGCAGGGGTTGTGACAAGTTGAGGTTTTTGAAACTAGTCAAGTTTTGGCTGAAGGCATTGAGTATTCTTTTTGAAAGTAGTCAAGTTTTGGCTGTGCTGGCAGGGATCGTAAGAATATTGAATAGTAAATAGTATTTTTTGCTGAGCACTGTGCTGGCAGGGATTGTTGCTGTAAGATTTTTGAATCTAGTCGAGAGCGGGCCATGTTTGCGCAATTTCGATGCTAAAAGACGTGGGTTTGGGCTTAAGCGGGCCATGTTTATGCAATTTCGATGCTCAAAGACGCGGGTTTGGTTCTTAAGCGGGCCATGTTTACGCAATTTCGATGCTCAAAGACGCGGGTTTGGTCCTTAAGCGGGCCATGTTTACGCAATTTCGACGCTAAAAGACGCAGGTTAGGCTTAAGCGGGCCATGACTACGCAATTTGGTTCTTAAGCGGGCCATGTTTCCGCAATTTCGATACTAAAAACTGCGGGTTTGGGCTTAAGCGGGCCATGTTTACGCAATTTCGATGCTCAAAGATGCGGTTTAGCCCGAAAACGGAAAGCTTAAACGGGTCCGGATTAAGAAGGCAGAAGCGGGGGGGTCGGTGGAGCGCTTGAAGGCCAGCCCCGAATGAGGAAAGTTATTATGTGGACTTGGCTCCGGCCCTGCTGCGCAGACCCCCCGGGGGGTCAGGTGCTCTACGCGTGGCCTGCTTACTTTGAAGCTGCTGGTTTTGCTACTGAGTTCTGGCTGTTAAGACTATTACTACATACACTACAAGGATATTATAACTCACTAACAAGGTGTTATAACTTGTTATAACCTGTTATACTTGCTTCAAAGTTTATTGTTGGTTAAGTGAGTTATCTAATGTTTTTTAACTTTTACAGTAACATGTTTAATTGTTTGAAAATTTAAAGAAGTTAGTAAAAAGTAATGTAAGATACAGATATCAAAAAACCAGTTTTAGCAAATTTGTTTTATGCTTACTCGCTAAAGGCTTTCAAGTTTTCACTAAAAGAAATTTGTGTTTGTGTACCACACAAGATATAGCTTGCACAAGTTGTTTCAACATTGGAAGCTGATTTCATCTTAAGCAAATGTATGCTCACTACAATGAATATTTTTGTTTGCCAGTTGATGAAAGTTTCTGCCCATGAAGTCATATTCAGCAGGCGTATGCTCAATGAGCCCTTTTGGTTACCAGCTGATGCAAGGTTGTGCCCGTAAAGGCGCTTGTGGAGCCAGCATTCCAAAGGCTATAAGTTTGGCGTGTGTGGCTTTGCGGTTCAAATCACAATGTGTGGCAAGAACAAGCACACTCACACACCAGGTGTTGTGCAGAATCATGGCATGCCTTGCAGTTGCATCATGGGGCAATTCAAACAGGTCAAGGTGGAGGGACTACACTGTACCTTGAATGTATTTCATCATTGAGTATGTATTTGGTCAAAGCTCAAAATATACACATTAACATAAATAAAAAAATTAGATTCTCAAGTCAAGTGTATGTGTCTATGATCTATCAACTCAGGACCCTGAGAAAGATGTGCCTCGTGGTTGGATGAATAAAGCCTGCGCCCTTGTCCATGCATACAAGACTGGACACATCAAGTACCGCAAGAAGGCGCTGACAAGGTTGGCAGAGCGCCATAGCCTGAGGAAGCCCATGGAGATGCTCAGCAAACAGGTTGAGCAGCATGGTGAGAGGGCGTATGACAAGTGGATCTAGAATAGATCTGTCATGACTGTGCATCTCCGAGAGACTTTCAAGAATGAAAAAAGAATTGGAGATCAGTGAAGAAGCCTGTACAGGCTCAAAAAATGGCAGCCTCTACAGGCATACATTCTAGCCTGTGTAGGCTGGTTTTTGAATTCAAAGCATATGATTTTGAATTCAGGGATTCGAATTCAAAATCACAGAAAATGATTTTGAATTCAGGGATTTGAAATCAAAATCACAGACAATGCTTTTGAATTCAGGGATTTGAATTCAAAATCATTCAGGGACTTCAAAATCGCAGAATATGATTTTGAATTCAGGGATTTGAATTCAAAACCACAGAATTTGATGTTGAATTCAGTGATTTGAATTCAAAATCACAGACTATGATATTTTGAATTCAGGGATTCAGTAGTTTGGATCCAAGGTCATAACCGTTTACAGGCTCAAATACTTTTGTTGTCTTGGAAATTCATGATTGAACACCATAAAATCCACATGCACATTTACAATTCTATGTGCTCTTGCAGTGTGTGATACGCATGCAAAGTGTTGGTCTATACTAGTCCTGTAGAGTGCAGCCATGTCATCACAGCCTGCAAATGGTGAGCAGCTGCAAATGGAAGTGGCAAACCCGTATATCATTGGCGACACTACTTTGGATGGTGATGAAGATGCTCAAGCCATCGTTTTTGAATATGGTGCACCAGCCAGATGGGCATTACAATGTATACTTCACATTTGCACATAGCTTTTGCAAGCTTCTGTTCTGGTCGGTGGTTAGCTTTTGCAAGCTTCTGTTCTGGTTTGTGGTTTTGCCCCACTGCAGGCTACTGCCTGTATAGGCTCTTGAATGAAGGATATGCCTATGTTGCAGCACCACCTGCAAAATCAGCTGCTTGTAGCTGCAATTTTCTTTGATTTTTGTAAAAACATTTTACGCTGCAATTGGAGACTTTTTTCTAGCACTTTGGAAAACCAAACACAATGGACAATGCAGCACATTTTGTTGTCATTGCGAAATCATTGGAAGCTTCCTAGGTTGGAAAAAACAAATCACGGTGTATGATTTGAAAGTTTAAATACTAACATGTTTGGTTGAAACATTCCTGGGATGTACTTGTGCGTGTGTCTTTTTGTTGCCCAATAGTTAGTTTGAAAGTAAACAGTCTTTTTTTGCAAAACAAAAATGCAAAATTGTCTTTGTCACTTTTGAAAAAATGGCAATCGAATTTTTGAAAAACAACCTTTTGCTAAGTAGTTTATAAACACCTATAACTAGTTACTAATTATATACTTAGCTAATGTCCTTAACAGCCATAACTCCATAGTAAAACCAGCAGCTTCAAAGTAGGGCTGCGCTATTTGCATCGAAAAGGGCAAGAGTCTGGGCCTTGAGCGGGCTATGTTTACGCAATTTCGATGCTCAAAGACTCAAAGACGCGGGTTTGGTCCTTAAGCGGGCCATGTTTACGCAATTTCGACGCCAAAAGACGCGGGTTTGGTCCTTAAGCGGGCCATGTTTACGCAATTTCGATGCTAAAAGACGCGGGTTTGGTCCTTAAGCGGGCCATGTTTACGTAATTTCGATGCTAAAAGACGCGGGTTTGGGCTTAAGCGGGCCATGTTTACGCAATTTCGATGCTCAAAGACGCGGGTTTGGGCTTAAGCGGGCCACGTTTACGCAATTTCGATGCTCAAAGACGCGGGTTTGGGCTTAAGCGGGCCATGTTTACGCAATTAATTTCGATGCTCAAAGACTCAAAGACGCGGGTTTGGTCCTGAAGCGGGCCATGTTTATGCAATTTCGATGCTAAAAGACGCGGGCTTGGTCCTTAAGCGGGCCATGTCTACGCAAATTCGATGCTAAAAGACGCGGGTTTGGGCTTAAGCGGGCCATGGCTAC